GAAGAGTCTTCAAAAACGGTATGGAGATACCCAGATGGAATGGAGCAGCACTCTCATGTGTCTTCATTAATCTTGATTTACCTTTTGAAATTTGATCTTTGTAAAAAATAACTGGACTAAAGCCTTTTAATTGTGGTCTTAAACTAGAAAAAAGTAAGTTTGCAGGATGAGTTACTTGTCGCCTGATGGCCAGCGATGACCCAGACATGAAGGAGATAGAAGAGGAATGTGCCCATTTCATTAAGTTGAAAGTGAATGAGGATATTAGGGAAAAGGCAGTTTGTCTACACAGCTCATTCAGGGAGGACAAGAGCCATGTTGTGGCTGAATCACATAGGTGCAAAGGCAGGTGGGAAATCTGAGCTTTGAAAGCTGTCAGCTACATGCTACCTTGAGCTTAGTAGACTGTATTTAGCAATGGGAATCTGTCATCTTACCTTTGAATTCTGGGCACACAGAGGTCTGAAGAAGAATAATTGGGCAGCAAAAATTTTCAGAAATTATTAAAAGGTAGAGATACTGAAACAGAGGTAGCCTAATGCAATTGGTATGATGGTCCCCTGGGATGTGGTGTGAGCTCCTCATTTTGGTGATGGCATCTTACAGAGCAGATCCACTCAGTAGTGGCTGCTGACACAGACATGGGGACAGAACACAGGACATACTCTGGTTGACATGGGCTATCTTTTTAGGGAAGATTTTGTTTTCTTGTGTTTTCTCTGTTCTTGGTGACGCCTGTTCACTTCTCAAAGCCTTTTTTTTATTTGAGAGGAACAAAGCTACATTTTTGTTTTCTGTCTTGGGACAGTGAGTCCCTAGGATTGGTGAAGTGCTGCTTCTGGGCTTTCTTGCATTAGCTGAGGCACAGCAGCCACCCAGAGTCCTTAGTTTCCTGGACATCCTATTAGTACTTTTCTGTTTAAAATATTTTCCAGCACTTAAAAATACCTGCCATTTTATAGTTCCCCATAACCTATTGAAACTAGAAACTATACTTGCCAGGGAAAGTTTAGAGTAAACTATTAAAATCTAACTTTTTTTGAAAAGAATTATTTATTATTATTATTTAATTTGACCAGAGATGGAGAAGGAGAGAGAGAAAGTGAGAAAGTAAGCCCCAAGTTCTGGAACGCGAACCGCAGTTGGCTATGTGGGTCCAGCATCTTAACCACCATGCCATTTGCCAGCCCCAAAATGTAACTCTTAAAAGATAGATATATTTGGTCATTGAGAAAGTTGTGACGTATTTTTCTGTTTTTCTATGCAAAAATGTGTCATCACTTTCCTGAAAACCCAATATTTATTTTTTAAGATATTTGACTTTACTTCATTAACTTTTTAGCACTGCAAGAAGCTGAAGCTCGTTTTCGTGAAATCAAACTTCAAAGGGAAGCCCGAGAAACGCAGGAGAGTGAGCGCAAGCCTCCACCATACAAACACATCAAGGTGACCTGTCAGGCCTGCATGTGTGTGTGTATATGTGTGGATGGAGTCGTCACAAAGGGGCTTGTGAGTGGTTCTCAAGTGTGCAGGCACTGCATGCCCAGGCTGTGGCTGGTGAGAGTGCTGTCCTCAACCAGTATCTGTAGTGCCTAATGTGGATGACCCACACAATGTCCTTAGCAAAGAGCCAGTGCCCTTGTGTCATTGCCCTGTGTGCAGGACCCAGGGTGAGGGGAGGAGGTCTTTGTTTTGCCTTAGAATGTGAGGCTTGGCTTAGTAACCAGAGTAAGGTCGGCCTAATAGTCCTGACCAGGCAACCTAGAGCAAGAGAGGCTGATAGACAGGCATATTACCTGTACCACGCTGTCACCCAGTACTGCACACCAAGCTCAGATAGGAAGTAGTCAGCTGGGGCGAATACTCAGCCAAAGCAGGGTTTAGTCAGCTAGAGACTCAGATGAAAAGCTCTCCCCATTTTAAAGTGTGTAAGGATGGAGGCAGGGCAGTGGGATATTCCTACTGTGTTTATCCACTAAGAGCATGAGGCCTGCAAGTCTCCACAGTGTGGGAGGAAATTTAGTCAGGACATGGCCTTGCCCATGTTCAGTGAGGTGATGCTGCCCAAGGCTGGAGCCTTATGGCCTCTTGATAGGAGTGTGCCAGCTGCCTGTGGCAAAGTCAAGTGCTCCATCTTTGCGCCTATAGTCTGGGCTATAGTTAATATCTTTGTGTGTAAAGAAAACATTCTCTGGGGACCAGCAGTTGGCACAATGGCTATGTCGCTTAACTCCCACATAGTCAACTGCGGTTCAAGTCCAGGACCTGGTGACATAAACTTATGCCAGGCACACGTGTGTGTATGCTCAAGATCCCTAGAGGAGAATGAAGAAGGGATTGTGGCATGGCCATCCCCCCAAGGGGGTGATTTCTCACTTTCTGTCTCTTTCTGGTGAACACACCCACCCTATAGCAAAGTCACTCAAAAAAAAAAAAATAAATAAAAAAAGAAAAGAAAAGAAAAGAAAACATTCTCTGTATTTGTCTTTATTTATGATTTTCTTTAGGATGGATTCCCAGAAACAGAATTACAGGATCAGAAAGCATGACACTTAGATTCTTGGAAAGTATTTCCAATTGTTCTTTAAAGAGTAGTTTTTACACCACAGCAGTGAGAAGGCTACCTTTCAACACATCTTCCCTAAAATTACCCATTTATGATTTAGTTTCTTTTCACTTCTCTCTACTATTTTATTATTTGGTTACACTTCTTCCATTGATAATAAACCCTAAGGTCACGAGGGGAGAAATGGGACTCTTCCTGGGTGCTCTATTGAATGGCTCTCTGCAGGTGCTCAGCAAAGGAAGGGTCAGATAGGTGTGTGTGGGAAGCTGTTGAAGAAAGCTAGGAATCAACTGGACACCTCACTTTGTACTGCGCAGTTGCTTTGTATTTTCTCCCTTAATCTTACAACCGCCTGGCTGATAAATGTCTCAATATCTTTCTTACATAAGGAACTCAAACACTAAGATAAGATAATGAAGAAGTATGAAGATGACAGCCTCACTTTCTTTTTTTTCTAAAGGTTTTTGCCATAGGGTGCATGCATTTGCCAGTGAGAGAGAGACCGAGAGGATAGTGAGAAATCATCCCGCAAGGTTGATAGCCACACCACAATCCTTTGTTCTTCATTTCCTGCCTGGGATTTTGGACACACAGGCACACATGCTCAGCATGATTTTTAAGCTGCTAGGCCCAGAACGCAAACCATGATCAACTCTATGAGTGAGAGTCAAGCACCTTAACCACCATGCCTCCTGCTGGCCTTGGCAGCCCCTTCTTCTAAAGTACCCAGATCAAGGATTGATCTGTCTGACTCTTGTTCTGGGTGTCTGTGTAAGGGGCTGTTCTGATGTGTGTCCCACCTGGGTCTCTGAAGCTTAAAGACCACCAGGAGGCAGGGAGCAGGCATCAAGGGGTTTGTAGGGGAGTTGTAAGGTGCTGTTTTTTTTTTTTTTTTTTTAATGTATGGGCCAAGACAACTTACTTTTTCCCTGCAGGTGAATAAGCCTTATGGGAAAGTCCAGATATACACAGCTGATATTTCCGAAATCCCAAAGTGCAACTGTAAGCCCACAGATGAGAATCCCTGTGGCTTTGACTCAGAGTGTTTGAATAGGATGCTGATGTTTGAGTGCCACCCGCAGGTGTGTCCCGCGGGTGAGTACTGCCAAAACCAGTGCTTCACCAAGCGTCAGTACCCTGAAACCAAGATCATCAAGACAGACGGCAAAGGGTGGGGCCTTGTCGCCAAGAGGGACATCCGAAAGGTGTGTGCTATGCCCCCTTTTGCCTTCTCCTAAGAACTTATGTGCTTCACTGGTTACTTATATTTGTTTATTGTGTTTGTGCATTCATGTATGAATGATATTTTTAAAATTTTTTAACTGAAATATTACAATTGAGTATATTAAAATGTTACATAAAAGATACCTAAAAATTCATTAATTCTATTAAAGCATACCTTAAGTCAGAATTGTGATGGTTGTTTTTCTAAAGTGAAAGATTTGAGAAGTGACCACTTTCTTTAGACTAGCAGCCAGACTTCAGGAGCTTCTACCATAGTCTAGGCTGAAGTTGTTAGTAGACACTGGAAATCACATCCTGATTCCATCTGATACATAAAGAGACAAGAAGAATTACTTACCTTGTCATAGCCTAGTCCTGATGTGCCCTAGCATGGCCTAGGAATTGGTGGACTCAGACCCATCCCCAGAGCCAACCAGCACAGAGAGAATACTAGCCTCAGTGCCTATACCAGCAATGGCAAAAAAGACTAATAGAAACACTCCTCTCCATGCCTCAGCCACCAGTTCATCTGGACTCTTGCTGTGTAGCCCATCAAATTTTTTATGACCATTTTTTCTTTTGGGGGAGATCAATATGTCTTGGTGAATTAAGGAGAAAGCATGGTTAACAGACAGTGCTCCTAAGAGAGAAGCTGTTGTAGGAAGCAAGCATTGTAATGTCGCTCATTTAAGAGTACTTTAATTTCCTCCTGGACAGCCTTTACTTATAAGCTATCTATGAGGTCATTTGAATTTAATTTATAAGGACTGTGTAAGATTCCCCACTTCTAAGGTACTAAGATGTATGTAGTGTACTGTTCTAATTGATGGTGATGTGTTACCTCAAGCCCTGACGCTGAGAATTAGTCAGTCTGCACTTTGTCATTACCTTATCCTTCCAATTTCCAGGGAGAATTTGTTAATGAGTATGTTGGGGAGCTCATTGATGAAGAGGAGTGCATGGCAAGAATCAAGTATGCTCATGAGAATGACATCACTCACTTTTACATGCTCACTATAGACAAGGTAATACAGAATGTGCCTTCACTGAATTTCTGGTGTTCTGATGGTTCAATTATTATTGTCTCCTTATTTGCTTTTTCCCAAGCATCTACACTTTTTTTTTCTGAAGTGCAGCATGTCTTTCAGCAGTTGCCAGAAGGCCAGAGCTAATTGCCTCTCAGTAGTGAGAGCCTCCTGAGAGCTTTGCACACCAGTAATGCATAAAGAGCATGCTGAGAAATCCTGTTAAAATTTGAGAATAGGGACCAGCAGATGGTGTAATTGTTACGTCACTGGACTCCCACATAGCCTGCCGTGGTTCAGTCCCAAACCCAGCAACTTAAAACTCATGCCAGGCACGTGTGTATGTGCCCAAGATCCCAAGAAGAGAATGGAGGAGAAGAGATTGTGGTGTGGCATCCTCCCTAGGGGGTGATTTCTCACTTTCTGTCTGTATGTCTGTCTCTCTCTGTGTGTCTCTCCAGAGACCCCAAAAAAAAGATTTGAGAAGAGCACAGATTAGTAAAGTTTCACATCTTCTTATTTATGTAGTAGAGTCTTTTTTGGTGTTCACTACTTGTCTGAACCCCCAATTTTTAAACATTGTGGAACATGGGTGCTAAAGGCAACAGTGTTCTTAGAAGGAGGACAGTGAGATGGTTTGCTGGTGAGAGGCATGGAGAAAAGAAAGTGCATTTCAAATGCTTTCAGACCTGGGACTGACCTCACAGGGAAGTGCCATTAGTGACCATAGCACCCAGGAAGACAAGTGTCTTTCCTTCCTTCACATGGGATAGCCTCCTGTTGGTCGTCCTCAGCTGGGCAGGTCAGCTTCCTTGATGCCTACATGCTCTTTGAGAGGAAAAAAGAGAGAATATACATTTCTGCCTTATGTTAATCTTGAGCTCATAATCTAGCAGAAAAGTGTTGCTGTTTCTGAAAGAGTAGTTAATAATAGTGCTTGAGGGCTGGCCCAGTAGCCTAGTGGTTAAGGGAACTGGATTTCACAGCTGGTTGAAAATGGTTCTAATCTCAGCTCTGGCAGCTTGGAAAATACAATGGGCAGGGCCAGCAGGTGGTGTGGTGGTTGGGGGCGCTGGACTTCCACATGACTGAACACGGTTCTAGTCCTGGACCTGGCAGCTTGCCTTCCACTTTCTCTCTCTGTGTGTGTTCAAATAAAAAATAACAATAATGGGAACCAGCAGTTAGCGTAATGGCTATGTCGCTGGACTCCCACGTAGTCGACCGCGGTTCGTGTCCCGGACCCGGTGGCTTAAAACTCACGCCGGGCGCGTGTGTGTGCGTGCCCAAGATCCCGAGAGGAGAATGGAGGAGAAGGGATTGCAGCGTGACCATCCCCTCTGGGGGGTGATTTCTCGCTTTCTGTCTCTATGTCTCTGTCTGTCTGTCTGGCGAGCGCAGGCAAGCCCCCCCAAAGAAAAAACCCCCCAAAAAAAAAAAAAAAAAAAAAAACTCATGCCGGGCATGTGTGCTTGCATGCCCAAGATCCCGAGAGGAATGGAGGAGAAGGGATTGCGGCGTGACCATCCCCCCTGGGGGGTGATTTCTCGCTTTCTGTCTGTCTGTCTCTGTCTGTCTGGCGAGCGCACATGCCCTATAGCGAAAACCTCTCAAAAAACCCCAAAAAACAATAATGACAAATAAAGTAAAGGAAATAATTAAAAATAAATAAATAAATAAGAAAATACAATGGGCATATACGTGTGCAGGCCCAAACTCCAAGAGGATAGAGAAATGGAGACAGGATTGTGGTATGACAATGCCCCATTGGAGAGTGGTTTCTCCTCTCTTTCCCTTTGGCTACCATATGTTCCCTCAGGTGATTAAAAATATAACAGTACTTGAAATGAGATAGAAAATTGATCACAAACCAAAAATATTGAATAATGCATGGAAGACAGAGAAAAGATGTGATAAGATCAAGAGAGAAGGGGCCTGCTATGATTCTGGGGAGGCCTGCAGGTGGCGTGATGGTTAAGGCACTGGATTCTCATATAACCAATCGCAGTTCGAGTCCCAAACCTAGCTGGCAGCTTGAGAATCATTCTGGGCGCAGGTATGTGAGTACCCAAAATTCCAGGAGGAATATAGATGATAGGGATTGAGACGTGGCTCTCTCTGGGGGTGATTTCTTGCTTTCCCTCAATGTGTCTCTGTCTCTTTCCAGCAAGTACACATGCCCTGTGGCAAAAACCTTTAAAAAAAATAAAAAACGATTGTAGGGACCATGTTAGGCCATCCCTGGCAAAGCTGTATTCCTCTTGGGGTATAGGGTAAGCTGTGACCATTGGGGCCCACCCCAGGTAAGCACTGAGCTCCGTGTCACAAACAAAAGGTTCTGAGTTAAAAGAGACTAAAGAGGGCCAGCAGGTGATGTGGCCAACTAAGGTCTGAATCCTGGACCTGGTAGTTTGCTTTCTTTCTTTTCCTCTCTCTCTCTCTCTCTCCCTCTCCCTCCCTCTCTCTCTCTTTCTTTCTCTGGTGAGTGCATGTGCCCTTTAGCAAATTAAAAATAATAATAATAATAATTGGGACCAGCAGATGGTGTAATGGTTACATTGCTGGACTCCCACGTAGTTGACTGTGGTTTGAGTCCTGGACCTGATGACTTGAAACTCACATAGGGTGCATGTGCATATGTGCCCAAAATCCCAAGAAGAGAATGGAGAAGGGATTGGGGCATAGCCATCCCCCTCAGCGGTGATTTCTCTCCGGTGAGTCTGTGTGCCCTATAGCAAAAATCTCTGTAAATAATAATAATAATAATAATGATTAATAAAATTAAGTCATTCTAAAAAAAAATTCTGGGACCAGCAAATGGCATAATGGTTAAGTCGCTGAAGCCCCACATAGTTGACCACGGTTTGAGTCCCATACCTGACAGCTTAAAACTCAACGCCGGGCACGTGTGCATGCATGCCCAAAATCCTGAGGAGAATGGAGGAGAAAGGATTGTGGTGTGGCTGTCCCCTCCCCCCTGGGGGGTGATTTCTTGCTTTCTGTCTTTCTGGCAAGCATATGCACCCTATAGCTAAAATCTCTCTTTAAAAAAAAAAAAAAAATCCCGGGACCAGCAGTTGGTGTAATGGCTATGTCACTGGATTCTCATGTAGTCGACCGCGGTCCGAGTCCCGGACCCGGTGGCTTAAACTCATTCCAGGCGTATGTGTGTGCATGCCCAAGATCCCGAGAGGAGAAGGGATTGCTGTGTGACCATCCCTGCAGGGGGTGATTTCTCACTTTCTGTCTCTTTGTGTCTTTCTGCCGAGTGTATGCACCCTATAGCAAAAACCTCTCAAAAAAAAAAAAAAA